AACGGCTTCGGTTGTCGGGTGATTATTATGGAGGAGGAACTTCTGCTCTGTAACAGAGAGTGAGAGAGAGAAACAAAACCAACAAACAAAGAGAGGGAGAAACACAGAGAGCGACCGAGAGAGATCAGAGGGGGCCCACCGCACGCTGGCTTTCAGCGCGCGCTGGCGCCCGCGGCTCGTGACCGCCATCTTCATCGAGAAGGCCCGGCCCCACCCCTGTCCCATCCTGAAGACCAGATTCCCTGTCGGGCCTCGCCACGCCCCCTCCTCCCACTCCTCCTCCTCCGCCTCCTCCTCCGCGCAGGTCGCGCATGCCAGGGACTGTGGCGAACAGTTGGCACCGGGGAGAGGTCGAGACCCTGGGTTCCATCCTTACGTCGGGCGTGTCCCTCTACAGGAGGAAAACTCAAAATGGTTCACAAGATAGTCTGGGGACGATTCCTTGACTGTTCATGGCTATCTTTGAATAGATTTGTCTATCTAACCGAGTGCCGCCGAGATTAATGCCACAGGGATAATAAAGTTCGGGGTTGCGGGGGGATTATGAATGTTGCCTACCGGAGGCCAGCAAGTGGGAGGAGAAAGAGATGATGTTAAGAGGACCGAAAGCCGAGGATCGAGGACCGAGAATCGAAGTCCGAGGATCGAGGATCCGGATCCCAGAGTCGAGGATCGAGGTCCGAGGATCGATGGCGGCGAGGACCGAGGATCGAGGATGGAGGTCCGAGGGTCGAAGATCGAGGCCCGAGGATCGAGGTCCAGGGTGCCAGGGGGAGAAGGAGGAAGACAGAGAGACAGAGACAGAAAGATACAGATAGTGAGAGAGAGAGAGAGACAAGTAAAGAAATATAGACAGACAGAAGGAGAGAGGAGGATGAGGAGGAGGAGGAGAATCCAGACCTATTGAATTTAATTTGTAAACAAATAATGGAAATTCAGATTTTCATCTGCTCGTGTAGAGTAGCTCACGTGCCTCGGTTTTCGTGGATAGTAAACCACAGCGAAGAAACTTCAGGGTGCCAGGGGGAGAAGGAGGAAGACAGGTAGAGACAGATACAGAAATATACATATAGTTCGACAGAGAGAGAGACGTAGAGAAAGATAGACAGACAGAAGGAGAGAGAGAGAGAGAGAAGAGGAGGAGGAGGAGGAGACAAACCAAAGTTCCAAACCTATTACATACAATTTGTACACAAACAATGGACATTCAGATTCTCATCTGCTCGTGTAGGGTGCCTCATGTGCCTCGGTTTCCGTGGATAGTAAACCACAGCGATAAAACAATTCAGGGGGCCAGAGGGAGAAGGAGAAAGACAGCGAGAGAGAGAGAGAGAAAGGGAGAGAGAGAGAGAGAGAGAGATAGAGATAGAGAGAGATAACAAGAACGCGAGAGAGGAGGAGGAGGACGAGGAGGAGGAGGAGGAAGTCTCTCATCGACAAGTCTCTCGCTTCGCTTGAGACATCCTCGAAGAATTGTTGGTTCCGCTTGAGACATCCTTGAACAACTGATCGTTTCGCTTGAGGTTGCCTCCAAACATTGTTGGTTTCGATTGAGACATCCTCGAAAACGGCTTCGCTTCGCTTGATGTTGCTATCTCAACACAAGAAGGACGTTAACCTCGATGGTGAACTTTTCACAGTGATAAACAAGTTCGGCCTCCGCGCCCCGCGCCCCTGACCAAACTCTTATTGGCCGTGGATAAACAACTCTAGCGTGTTAAAGGGGGGGGTCCTTTTTGATCAGCGGCAGGCGGTTATTCTGTCGTCCAAAACCCGCCTGTAGGAGGACATGCCCGACCTGGTCCTGTCCCTCGCCCGTGCCCCGCGGCGTGCCTCCGACGAGCCGACCCCGGCCAGGCCCCGAACGGCGCTGCACCCGACGGGGAAGCACGCAGCTGCACAGTGGACTCCGGCAGGGGCTTCGATGGCTCGATCGCCTGCCCCTCCTCCTGCCTCCCAGGCGCCCAGCGTCTTGAAGAGATACAGACCCCGCGGCCGTCCAGAGCAAGGCCTGGGCTGCAAGGCCCACCCCCGGGCAAGGGGTCGTGTCTGCACGGGGCACGACACTCGGAACGTCCTGGGCTCGTCTGGCCCCGTCACCCGAAGAGGAACGAAAACTTCATGAACATAAACTCTTGGCGCTTCTCGCGGGTTTCTTGGATTAGCGCTGGGCCCCCCCCCCCAAGCGGCGCCTCCGGCGCCGCCCCTGCCGCGCTCCGCGCGCCAGGAAGGGGGCCCAGTGCAGATCCAAGAAATCCGTGCGGAGCGCCAATAGTTCATCCTCCCTCCTCCTCCTCCTCCTCCTCCTCCTCCTCCTCCTCCTCCTGCTCCAACCTACTCCTCCTTCTCCTCCTTCTCCTCCTCCTTCTCCTCCTCCTTTTCGTCCTCCGCGTTTCTTCCATTGCTGGTCAGGCGCGCCTGCCGCTTCTCGGCGGGAGCGGGGGGGCGGAGAGTAGCGCGGGAGCGGGCTGCGCACCTCCTCGGGAGGAGGAGGAAGACGAGGAGGAGGAGGAGGCGTTGGAGGAGGAGGAGGAGGAGGAGAAAAGGAGAAGGAGGAGGAGAGTGAGGAGGAGGAGGAGGAGGAGGAGGAGGAGGAGGAGGAGGAGGACAAGGAGGAGGAAGAGGAGGAGGAGGAGGAGGAGGTCTCCTCACCCCCTGCCGCCTCAGGCGAGCTGCGGCTCCGCCTCTTTTTTGTGCTGTAGATGTCTGAGGCGGCGCCTGCTTCGGAGGCTGGGGCGCGCGTGACGGGCCTGTGGCGGGCGCGGCCGCAGGGGTGGAGCCGAGGCGGGGAGGACAACCTTCGGCGACGAACGCCGAACCCTCCGGGGGCCGCGTGCGAGCCCTGCCCAACCACCCCGCGAGTTCTGAGGGGAGCGGTGGGGTTCGCTTCGCTCGGGAGGTCCCGCACATGGGGAGCCCCACCTCCCTCCCCAGAAATCGTGGGGTGGCGGGGTAGGGTTCGCATGTGGCCTCCTAGCCCTACCATTATGTCGGGCGTGTCCCCCTACAGGGGGATTTTGGCAGAACAAAACCTACTCAAACAATACACCCAAAGGGCCAAACCATACTCAAACAATAGTCCCCGGCCCCAGACTATGTTTGGATTATATTTTGATTATTTTTGGTGTATGTTTTATTTTTCGTCGAACATCCCCATGTATGGGGGACAGGCCCGACTTAACCCTACCATCGCCGATCGACGATCCAGGCAACTCGAGGTGTGGCGGGGGCAGGGGGAAGGAATTCGCCGAGCGCGTGGCGAAATCCGAGCCCTACCCCCGTCCCCCACCGATCCAGGAGCATCGATGGCTGGTGGGGTTACGTAGATGGATCGGCGGGCTGGGGGGGAAGGGCGCGGGCAAACCGTACGGGCAGCAGCGGGAGCACGAGCCGCTGGAGCCTCGGACGTTCATCCCGCGGGCCAGGGCCCCGGGAGAGCCATGCCTGATGCTTTCCTGCTTCGGATCAGCGTGGGCGCTGGCCGAAGCTGCGGTCGACCTGGAGGAAGGTGGAAGTGCAGCGGTCGGCGTTTCGGGGGAACGCGCCGACTTTGGCCGCACCCGGGGCCCCAGAGAGTCCGCGGGGCCTCGTGTTCTCCCCTCACCGATGCGAACATCGCCGTGCGGGTTCCCGCACGCATGGAAAACGGATGCTGGATGAATGTGTTTTTTTTCGTGGTCGTTCATTTTCAGCCATCCCCTGGCCCCGAGTTCGTCACATGTACTTCAGGGTGGACGATCGACATCCCTCGCCATGGAATCTTGTACCCGTTTCCCCGGGGACCCAGTTTCCCAATGCCAGTTTGAAAAGCACAGATTCTGTGCGGACTTTGGGTTGTGAGGGTCCTGAGAAGCTCCTGACAGGCCCCTGCACTGCTGTTGAAGAGCTCCTGAGGGGTGCCTGAGATGGTCCTGAGAGGGTGCTGAGTGGCTCGTGATTGGCTCTTGAGGGGGTCCCGAGAGGCTCTTGAAAAGGCCGTTGGGATGGTCGTGAGATAGCCTTAGAGTGTCCCGAGCGAGAGAGAGAGAGAGAGAGATGGCCGTGCGCGGCTCCAGCGGCCCTCCCCGCCCCTCCCTCTCTCCCCCCCTCTCGCTTTCCCCCTTTCCCCTTAAGTCGCCACGGGGCGCACCCCTCTTCGGCTGGTAAAAAAGTGTCCCGAAAGGTCCTGAGAGGGCCCCGGTAAGCTCCCGATAGGGTTCTTTGAGGGTCCTGGGACGTCTGTGGGCCCCGGAAACGGCAGGGCCGTTTTTTCAGCGTTTCCAAAACAAATGTCCCTTGAAAATGGAAGCGGCAAAAAAAACAACGGCGACTGGAAACGGCACAAAAACGGCTCCAGGATTGGAACCGGAGCCGCAACCGGTCAAAAAAACGGCGACGGAACCGGTAACAAAAACGGCGTCGGAACCTAAAAAAAAAACGCAAAACGGAACCGGTAACAAAACGGCCCTGTCGTTTCTGGGGCCCACTAAGCCTGGGACGGCCTGGGAGAGCCATGCGGTGCCTCGTGAGGTCCTGGAGAGGCACTTGAACACGGGGCAGAGTACGGGAGTGTCTCTGCCGCCTCCTGCTTGTTTGCTTTAACTCCACGTGTGGCTATGTAGCTGTACATGCGTAATTTACATACAACTACCCATCACCTGTGTATATAAAGGCCATTGGCTATCGAACGGTCGATGACTGATGGTGGCATGGGCGCCCAGTAGGCATCCGATTCATAAGCCCACTGCCCGCAGTTCGCACGACAATTGAGCCGCAGCCTTTCTGTTTGACCCTCTGGGAACCCTCGAGCCACACGTCACCGGGTATCTGCACAAGACATTCGCTTTCGGATGCCCCCGCGGATTTCCAGGGTTCAGCGCCAACCCAAGGCGCCCGCGCGGACCTCCGACATACACATTTCAGGAGGGAAAGAAGCACACAGACACAACGCATCGTCGACTCCCAGGAACATGTGGGAAAATATGGGAAGTGGAGGGGAAGCCAAAAACCGAGAAAAGAAGGGAAACTATGGGTGGGGAGTCCTCGGATTTGTGTGTATTTATGGTTGTGTCCCTGGGCCCCTTCAACATATCCGTGCAGGTGTTTGCTCTTCCGCTTCAGCCTTCCGCCCTCTCTCCTGTTCGTCATGCGAGGCCATGGGCCTGACCGAGCCAGACAGGCACGAGGTCATGATGAGGGAGCGCCGCACCGAGCTGCGCGACGCGATCGAGCTGCGGGAGATCCTCGCAGACGTGGAGCGGGGGGGGGGGGCAGGAAAGGCACGGCAAGCCCAGACCCTAAGATCTGACCCTGATAACCGTGCTCGTTTCTAGTTGCTCCAGGCCCCCTAGTGGCCAGGAAGAGGCCCAGGGTAGAAGAATTAGGCATGCGAAGATCCTGCCCCCCCCCAAAAAAAAGAGCCTCTCCGAAGACTTCGGAGTGAACCGTGTGCAACGCGGCGCGGTGCAGAGAGCTACGCGGCGGGACGACTCGGCGGCCACGGGCGGCCCCAGGCCGGCTGGACCGACGCAGGGGCCCCGTGCGGGTGTTGCCAGGAGTCTCGGGGGGGGGGGGGCCCGCGCGGCCTTCGGAGCACCCCTCACGGGGCCCAGAGCTGTGCGGACTTTGGGTTGTGCGGACTTTGGGCTGTGAGGGCCCCTGCACTGCTATTGAAAAGCTCCTGCGGGGTGCCCGAGATGGTCCTGGGGGGGGGGAGGGGGGCCCAGGCGGCCTTCGGAGCACCCCTCACGGGGCCCATAGAGGGCCCCACGTCAGAGCCCGGAATCATCAGGGGTAGCTCGGGTCAGGGCTAACTCGGGTTCGTTTTTGTTCGGGAATCCGAGCCCGAGTTGCCCCGGGCCCGAGTTACCCCGGATAACTCGGGCGTCCAGAGCCCCAAATCATCAGGGAGAATTCGGGTCTCGGCTAACTCGGGTTCGTTTCTTCGGGAATCCGAGCCCGAGTTACCCCGAGCTTCGTGGGCCCTGGAAACGACAGGGCCGTTTTGTTACCGGTTCCGTGTTGCCGTTTTTTTGCCAGTTCCGACGCCGTTTTTTTACCGGTTCCGTCGCTGCTCTTTTACGGGTTCCCGCTCCGGTTCCAATCCTGGAGCCGTTTTTGTTGCCGTTTCCGGTCGCCGTTGTTTCGCCGTTTCCACCTTCAAGGGACGTTTGTTCGGAAATGGTGAAAAAACGGCCCTGCCGTTTCCGGGGCCCGCTAAGGCCCAGAGGGCCCCATGGGGCTCCAAGCAGATCCGAGAGCTCCGCGCGGAGCGCCAGCCGTTTCTGTCTGTGGCGTGTTTTGTTCTTCTCCCGCGATGGATGCCGCGGCGCCTCTCCAGTTGGGGGGACCCTTCTGGCCTGGCGGCCGCGGTATGCTCGGTGGGCGAGGCGGGCTCCGCGGAAAAATCGTAAAACATAGTCAGGGACTATTTTTTGAATATTTGTCGGCCATCTTGGAGTGTGTTTTGAATATTTTTTATTTTTCGTCGGCAATCCCCCTGTAGGGGGACACGCCCGATTTAATGCAAGGGAGGAAAGACCGCCCAGACCCGACAATTGACGTTTACGAAACTCGGGGCGGGGGTGGACGGAAACCCCACCCTGACGCGTCGATTCGTGAATTGTCCGTTTTCGAATCTCGAGAGGGCGCTCCGACCGTCTTTTCCAGGCTTGCGCCCACCAGGTTCGGGCCCCGAGGTCGTTTTCACGAAACCACGATTTACTCGGGAGTTTCTGCCCATCCCCGATAAACGGCCCTGTGCGCTTACTAAAGAGCCTTGCCCTGTTTGGTTCCTTCTGCGGGTGCGTTTATCCACGGTTTCGCGAATCGGGGTTGCTATTCTCGGGGTGGATGCTCTGCCCTCTATTCTTATCCGTGCAGTTCCGTCTTCAGCGTCGATTGGCGTCGATTAGCGTCTGGGAGTCGATGAGATAGCGCCGATGTAGCGTCGGCTGGAGTCGATCAGCGTCGATTTGGCATCGATTAGCGTGGGCTGGCGTCGATCCGCAAGCGCCGACAAGATGGTATGGGAGGCTCCAGCGAGTTGCCACCGGAGACAAGGCGGGGGGGAAGCTCCCTTCTCAGGACCTCACACCACCGACCTGCCGCGTGGGGAGGCGCCTAGATCCTCGATCTCCGATCCTCGGTCCCGCTCCTCGTCTTCCTGAGCCGCGTCGTCCTTCTCCCTCTCCGTCTCTCTCCTCCTGTGCTCAGGATGCACCTCCTGGGAGGCTAAATTCAGCATCCGTGCTGGAATACGAAAACTGGCCTAATCCAGCACATCACCGCTTAATCGGGCTTGGTCCCGCTTAATCGCGCCTAGTTGCATTATTTGCTTAATCCTGGGCTTCATCTGGCCCAATCCCTGGCTGTATGGCTTCGTCACCTGATTTTTGATACCCTTGAATTGTTCTTGCGAAGGCTGTCCAGGAGTTGCCTCCTACGTCATCCGCCCTCTCCTTCTTTCTCTCCTTCCTCCTGCGCTTCCCTCGCGAAGGTGGACTCCGACGGCTCGAACACTCTGAGCACCTCCGAGTTCGAGCAGGTGTGCCAGATCCCTGAGTTCCGGCACTTCCTGAACTCGCGCGGCATACACATTAAGGAGGCCAGTGCACTGGGGATGTGGAGGCGGAGGATTACACAGCGGCTCCAGGAGGGAGAGAAGCAACCTGGCACACAACTCAACACAACATAACGTTGAGGAAGAGGGGAAGGCTTGCGCCCGCCAGGTTTGGGCCCGAGGCCGTTTTCACTAAACCACGTTTCACTCGGGAGTTTCTGCCCATCCCCGATAAACGGCCCTGGGCGCTTACTAAAGAGCCTTGCCCTGTTTGGTTCCTTCTGCGGGTGCGTTTAGTCCACGGTTTCGCGTATCGGGGTTGCTATTCTCGGGGTGGATGGCTATTCTGTATCTTTAGTCCACGGTTTCACTGGGTTTCTGTCCATCCCCGAGCCAGTTCTGGGCCGCGTCAGGGACCGACGCACCCTGGGCCCCCGTCCCGAGAGGAGTTGCTCACCAGGGATTGGAACGGAATGCGGAGAAGGATGACGATACGAAAGTGTTTGCATAGGAAGACAGCAGGAGGAGAAGGAGGAGGCCTAGGAGCAGCTGGAGGCGATTTCAAGTATTGTGCTGACACGCCGTGCCCTTCGAAGAAAGTGCCGATTCAGGCCGCGCAGCCTGGGATCACTGTCTCTGAGACGTTCTGAATCGTGTGGCCCCCTTCGAGGGCGAAATGAAAGAGAAACCGGATGCCCACTTGTTATACAGCCGGCCCGGATTAGTAGGTCGACCCTGTCAAATGAAGGGTGCCCTTGTGTCCTGTGTCTCGCGATCCATGCTTCCTACATTCCTGTGGCAATGTGACCCTCGGAAGGGTCTTGTGTCCTCTCGCGTGTCCTGTCCAATCAAGTCCGTTTGTACGAAAAGCTTTGTCAAACGAGTCGCGCCATGGCGTTTACTTGCGGTTCCAGTGGACGAGAGTGGGCAGCGGGAATCGCAACATTTTCTGGACTAGAGTCCATCAGCAGGTACATTCGTGGCATTGTACCACGAGCGTGGTCTCTGGAATGTCGCTGTCTTAGCGGCGCTCAATTACCCCGCCAGGAAGATGGGGCGTACGGGTTCGAAACGATTGTAAGCAGCTGTTACCACAGAATACGGATGTTGCCAGATTCGTCCCTGGCACAAGGTGTCCACCATATTCCACGAGACACAGGATGTTGCCCAATGTGTCCACGGCATCCAGAGTACCGCTCACGAGGCCCAGAGGGCTTCGAACTGCAGTGAGAAGAGGGGCGCCTTGGGCCAGGACCACCAGTGGTAACCCTGGACGAGCGTGGTGGCCCTGTGGATGGCACCTCCCGCGCCGCACCCCTCAGCGTGTCCCCAGTTCCGTTCGCTTCGTTTCGATTCGGGGGAAAGTGGTTCGGTTCAATACGGTTCCGGCTTCGGAGCTGTTCGAGGCGGTTCCCATTCAGAGGGCGGCTCCCTTTCAGTTGGTTCCATTTCGGTTCTCGGTTCTTGCAGATGACGTGTGCGCGTGTGCGTCTACATGATCATATGGAGGCGTTTGGAGGTTCAGTTCAACCAGGAGTCAGGAGGAACCCTCGGGCCAGGGGAGCCACTAGGCCCAGCTACCCGACGAGCCAGGAGAGCCAGTGGGCCCAGACGTTACTCATGGTGCCCTCGTCGGACCAGTCGACAGCATCGTGCCCCCTGGACCAGGGGGCTCTGGCGACAGCGGGCGACTCCGCAGCGCCAGGATAGACAACGCTTGGACTACGGTCTGGGACAGTACGGACCACTCACTCCTGGCATGGGTCATCCCAAAGGACAACTGTGAAGGCAATGGCGCCGCCCGCGCCATCACCGGGCGCGCGCAGGATGGTGGGGGCCCAGCCCCGGCCGCCGTCCCCAGTTCGGCCCTGGAGGCCCCGAGGGCTCCTGGAGGCCCAAAGCGCATTTTCGAACCGTCCAAAAATGCGATTTGAGCTTTTCAGCCGCCCTCCCATCCCCAGTGCAGCCCTGGAGGCTCCGAAAACCGCCTGGAGGCCCAAAGCGCATTTTCGAACCGTCCAAAAATGCGATTTGAGCTTTTCCGCCGCCCTGCTATCCCCAGAGCAGCCTTGGAGGCTCCGAAAACCACCTGGACGCCCAAGGCGCATGCTCGAACCGTCCAACAATGCGATTTGAGCTTTTCCGCCGCCCTTCCATCCCCAGTTCGGCCCTGGAC